ATTTTGTTTTATGACTTTTTCGGCTTTAGAATTTTCCTTGACTGACGAATCTATTTCCTCTATTGTATCCTCCATGCCAGAGATTCTCTCTTCCATCTCTTGTACTGTGTTGATTATGCTTGCATTTCCTGTTCATTTACTCGGATTTTCTATTTTCAGCTTTCCCTCAGTTTGTATCTTCTTCATTGTTTCTATTTCAAAAGGTCTTGAACTGATTCTTTCACCTGTTTAATTGCTTTTTCTTAGTTTTCTTGGCTTTCTTTAAGGGATTTATTGATTTCTTCCAATTTTTTGTTTGTCTATTTCTCAATTTAAGAGAATTTTTCATTTCCTCTTTAAAGTCTACTACCATCTTCATCAAGTCATTCTTAAGGTTGTTTTTTTTTTCTGCTTCTTCTACAGTGTGATGTTTAGGTCTTGCTGATGTAGAACCACTAGGTTCTGGTGGTGCCATATTTGTCTTTATGTTGTTGAATATATTTTTGCAATGGTATTTACCCATCTCTTCCTCCAGTTGGTGGAAATGGTGTCTGTGTCTCAGAGAGCCACTCTTGGTCCAATTGGAGCTCTTCTTCCTATTAGAGCTGGTGGAGTTTGTATCTCAGAAAGCAGCTGTGATCATGGAGGATGGGTGAGTTTGGGTAGTAGCTTGGGGCTTGTAGGTTACAGCATCTGGTGGAGGAAGGTGATAGCCAGGCCTGCCTGCAGGAATCCTTCCTGCTGGCCTGTAACTGGTTGTACACCTGAGCCTAAAGCTTAGAGGCTGGGGTGATTGCCTAGGAGAACAAAGACTCACCTCTTCGTCCAACCAGAGCTGGCAGTGTCTGTGTCTCCGGAAGCAGCTGTGGTCTGGGAAGATGGGAGATTTTAGGGGGTGGGTTGGGGTTTGTAGATTACGGGGTCCAGTGGAGGGGCTTGGGTCTGCCTGCAGCAGTTCTGCCTACTGACCTGCACCTGAGGCTGCAATGGGTGGGATATGGGGCACTGGTGGTGCCCCTGGGTCTAAAGCCCAGAGCTCAGCTTACTTTCTTAACATCCCGGGCCCACAGGCCTAGGGATGGGGCCACTTGCAGTCGGTGGCCTCTCCTGCATCCACCACCAATTAAGACAGTTCCTACTAGGCCAATCTCATGGAGGCAATTCCTTAACTGAGTTTTCTTCTTCCAAGGTGACTCTAGTCGGTGTTAAGTTGACAACAAAAACCATTCTAGTAGGTAAAGATGTCTGCCCTCCTACCTGATAATATGATTTCTGTCTCCAATATCTACATGGTAGAAGGAGAGAATCAACTCCTGCAAGTTGTTCTTTGGCCTACACACACATACAAAAAAAAAAAAAAGTAAGAATAAATTTAAAAGATGTATGTTGTTTAATTTGCAAGTGCTAGAGAATCTCTTGTCATGTCTCCATAATTGATTTCTAGTTGGTCTATTTCAGTAGATGAACACATTTTATAGCCTTAAATGTATTGACATATTTTGTTTTATTTAATATGGTCAACCTTGCTGGACGATGCTCATGTTCTTGAGAAAACTATATATTATATGTTCTATAGTAGAGATGATTTTGTGTTTCTCTCTGAGTGTATATGTATAAGAGTCTGGTGTGTGTGTGTGTGTGTGTGTGTGTGTGTGTGTGTGTGTATTTGCATGTGAGAGGTTACATATGCACACATATGTGCATGCATTCTGTACACAAATGTGTATCAGGGTGCATTAATCTGAATGTGTATACATGAACAGAGGCCAGAGGACTTCAGGTGTCCTGTTTTTATTATTCTCCACATTTTTTGCTTGATACAGTGTAGCTAGAGTTTTCCTGCCTTGCCTACAGTCAGGACAAATCTTTGTCACCTCCAGTCCCACAGCCGCTCAGACCCAACCAAGTAAACGTAGAGACTTATAGTGCATACAAACTGTATGGCCGTGGCAGGCTTCTGGCTAACTGTTCTTATAGCTTAAATTAATCCATTTCCATAAATCTATACCTTGCCACATGGCTCGTGGCTTGCCAGTGTCTTCACATGCTGCTTGTCATGGCAGTGGCTGGCAGTGACTCCTCCCACCTTCCTGTTCTCTCAATTCTCCTTTGTTAGTCCCGCCTATACTTCCTGCCTGGCCACTGGCCAATCAGTGTTTTATTTATTGACCAATCAGAGCATTTGACATAAAGACCATCCCATGGCAATACAGTCTCTTACTGATGCTGGTGCCTCAGTTTCAGCCACAAAGACCCACTGATCCTCCAGTCTCCAAACCCTACATACTTCAGCCATATCTGTTTATTGTTTGTTTGTTTATTTTTAACATGGCACTTTAGATTTTCACTCCATTCCTCATGCTGTGACTTCTTTGAAGTGGTGGATTATAACCTGGAGTTGTAGTTAAGATGAATTCTCCTCTGGTACATTGCCTTTGTCAGGGTATATGTATCACATCAGTAGAAACAAAGTAGGGACCCACTGCTATTGTCAGACAATTGGGTTTATTGTTGTTGTTTTAATATAACATAAATACTCTTGTCTATTGAAACTCCATGTGCCATGGAGAAGACGTATGTCAGCACAGGAATTTGCTCCTGGGTGTTCTGTAATGCCATCCTCAGAGTGTAACAGTTGTTATTGTCATCAGAACAGATGTGACTACTTGAAAAATATCCTCAAGTTCAAATCTGTTGACTGTTGACATTCTCTCCAAAATGGAAGTGTTGGGGAAGTCACTGGCCTCATGCCTGGGATGCAGGAATTCTAAACATACCTCTCAGTCCATTGCAAGTATCGCAGCCCTAATGGTATGTGGAGTAAAAGTCTCAGCAGATGCTAGACAGTGGGAGGTTGAGTGAAGAGAGAAGTCTGCCTATGCAGCTGGGGGGAAGCCATCAGCCATGATGGGGTGAGACTTTCCAGTGTTGCAGCTGCCGTAAAATCACCCACACTTTTGTGGATAACCCTTCATCCATGCTATGTAAGTGAGCACAACAAACTCACTGACCACAAAGTCATACTTTTGTGGAGCTGTACTTTTGTCATTGTCATTGGTGTCCCATGAGGAGCAGTGGACATTTTTTCATACTGTGTGGAGGGAATTCTGGGAACACTGGCCCCCAGTTAGAGCCCTTAACAGTGGCAGTGGATCTCTGAACACAGAGTACCAGCCTCCACAGTTGATTCTGTGAACAAAGGAGAGTCAAGTAATCTGAAAAGGAAACAAGGTTCCCAGGAATTTTATTCGTAAGGTGACAAATTGAAATAACTCATGGCCTAAATGTTTAAGAGGCTGAAATTAAATAATCTCTATTTAGACCCTCAGAGCCTAAAACATCTGGTGACTTTATCCCTCCCTCCCTCCCTCCCTCCCTCCCTCCCTCTCTCCCTCTCTTCCTTCCTCCCTCCTTCCCCCTTCCTCTCCATGTGTAAACATATGTACCTGCATGAATTTATGAGGACCACATGACATGAATGCCTGCTACCATCAGAAGAGAGTTACATCTCCCAGAACTGCAGTTACAGGTCACTTGGGGCCATCCAATGTGAGTGCTTGAAACTGAAGCTAGGCTCTCTTCAAGAAGAATAAAAGCTCTTAACCACTGAGTCATCTCTCCAGTCCCTAGTGGCTCCTAACTATTAATTAAATTTGTTCTTAAACAATTCCCACATGTATAAAGTGCATACTGACCACACTCTGATCCTTAGCCTCTTCCATCTCCTACCACCTCTGTCCACTCCCTACCCTCCACGAATCTCACCCATGCCCACATCTGTTTATTTGGTTTGGGACCTACTGAATTTATCCAGTGTCATGTGTGTAACCCTGGAGCTGGTGCTCTTCACTGGAAACTGGTGGACTCAGCAGTGAGACCCAACCAGGGACAATGACTTTCCTCTCTCAGAACCTCTTCACAGCTGTTCCAAGGTCATGGATTGGGCCCTGTTAGCACCTGCCCATGACTTGACTGATAGGGCAAGTCTTGCATGGGTCCAGTGCAGGCAACTGCTGTTGTGAGTTAGTGATTGCAATAGTTGTGTGGATTCTAGAGAATGGCATTTGGCAGCCCTTAACTCCACCTTCTGTCTCTTACATGTCCTCTGTACCCTCTTCCAGAATGTTCCCTGGGCCTTAGAGGGGGATGTCTATATGTCTTCTTTAGTGCTGAGGCCACAACTCTCACTCATTCTCACCATCTTGGACAGCCTCCAGCCTCTGAATTCACTGCTGTTCATTGTAAGAATGTTTTCTTAATGACCCTCCCTCCACCCAGTCTCTTCCTAGACATCACTCATGAGAAGCTTATAAGTGGCTACCAGGTTTAACTTCCTGAGGAAGAACATGTTTGTTTAAAGAAAACTGAACTGTGTTATAGGTCAGGATAAACATCAATATTTTAGGTAGGAGGATAAAGGAGACATATGCTGTAGATAAGAATGGTTCACTCAGGAGATAGCCTCACTGCTTATGCTCTCCCTGTACCTCCTTCCTCTCTTAATAAAGACATTAGCATACTTGGGGTTCCTAAGATGAACCTTAGATGGTGATAGCCCTGCCTGTTCCAGGAAGCCAGATGCTCAATACACCTGATTCCTTTGTTCTGATTCTCTTCTCTTAAGCGTTGGATCTGACTGACATACTTTTCTGTTGCCATGATAAAAATACCCGGACAGAAAGCAATATAGGGATAGAATGGTTTATTTTGGCTTATTGTTCCAAAGGGATAGAGTTCATCATGGTTGTAGAGACACAGCAACAGGCAGGGAAAGGTAAACCAACACAATGGTGATCAACCCAAAATTTTATTTAGGAAGAAAGCTGAAAATATGGGTCAGAACCATAATCTCAACCAAAGAAACTGTAGGCACAGGGGATGAGGTAGAAAAGTAGAGTCCAGATCTATTGTTAAGAGCCCAGTACCCACAGAAATGCAGAAGGAACCGAAATGAATGTACTTCAAGTTTGACTAAATGATAAATAGGTTGGACAAACGATGGCCATGGAGGTGGGCAGATTTCACCTAGAGCAGGGAGATGCAGGCTTCTTGCAGATCCAGAATTTCTCTAAGGAACATGTGTTATCATTCCATCCATTATCTGAAAAGTCTGCACAGTCTTCATCGTAAACGTTGTTGGGCTCCCCTGGAGCCCAATATTGGCTGAAATTGAAAATCCCCAAACATCATGAGCTTCTGTCCCAGCCTCTACTGTCACTGTATCTACCTGCTGACACTGAAGTGCTTAAAGTATTGGTGTGAGAAACCCTCATTCTACAAAACAGAATCAAGAGACTTCAAATTGTGAAACTGATGCCGTTTTATCTTTGGTTTTGCAGAATCATGTGTCAGCTGGACCAAAGGCAAAAAATAGTTCGCATTCAGATTTGATGCAAAGCAGTGGTTTTTATATTCCTTACTATATTTTTTGTCCCCCTTTATTCCTCAATGGCTAAGTTCTTCAGCAAGGAACATTCTTCCCAGTATCTAGGATAGCCTCCTTCTCAGATTCCCCATTCTGTTGAGTCAGGACACACACCTTGTCTAACAAAAACCCTAGAACCTTAGATTCCCTCCCCACCCTCCCTGTCACATGGACTCAGTCACATAGCAGCTTCCTGTCACTCTCTAACCCTAATCTAAACTGAGATCTCCTGACAAGCAAGTGCCAGCTGGGGAATCTGGGGCCCAGTGTTTCCTCCTTATCTGTGATTCTTTGATGATCTCTATCATGCCTCATACTGAAAATGGAACATTATGACATCTCAGAGCCCACTGACATCCCGAACCAGCCTGATTTATAGTCTCCCATGTTTTTTTCCATGGACAAGAGAACAGCCTTGGCCTCCTTCCTTCCTGTTTCTTTTCATGTTCTCATGGTATGTGGCAGTTCCTTTGTAGCTCACATGACATCATGGATCTTTAAGTATAACAAGCTGTATGTTTGTTTGTTTGTTTGTGTTGAGACAGGGCTTCTCTGTGTGGCTTTGTAGCCTGTCCTGGAACTCATTCTGTATACCAGGCTGGCCTTGAACTCACAGAGATCTGCTTGCCTTTGCCTCCTGAGTGCTGGGACTAAGGACATGTGCCACTACTACCCAGTGACAAGTTGTTTTTTTAAGACAACCATACTCCTGTATTTAGATTCTCTTAGTACCCTGAACTGGATTATTCGTTGCCTCAGAACTAAACCTTTTAAGCACAAAAAAATCTCCATTTTCATTGTTTCAGGTGTTTCTGCTTGCAAAATCCATCTCAATTGGTCTTGGTGGACAGTTCACATTTCCTATTAGGAGAAGTTGGGGAGGGTCATTGGATCTTCCCCTGAGTTTCCACTCCCCTGTGATTAAGAACTATTCACACATCCCTAGGGACGAATGTCTGCAATATCTACCACAGAACAGGTGCTGGAACTGAAAAATCATATCCATTTATCCATCCCAATAATATGATGTCATGTTAGGAATCCGAGGAGCACATATTTCTTGGGGCATAGTTTCACCCCCAACACAATGTATTACCTCCATTTCAGTGGTGAACCATCCAACCACACCCATTTGCCTTCCTGTTTCATGTCCGACAGCCCCATCCAGACATAGCCTATCTTCTTAGAGGTCTGCTGCAGGAAGCTCTGGAGAGGAAGGGGAAGCCATGATGGGCTCTGCCATCATTTCCTACCTTGGTCCATAGTTCTGCTTACAGTCTGACCCTCAGCTTTCTAGTGCAGCAACAAACACACACGTGTGCTTAGATACCCCTCACACGCTTTACACGCACACATGCACAGCACAGATATGACGATCAGGCCAGACCTCACACAGGCTCTCTCTCTGGGACAGAGGGTTAAGAAGCAGTGTGTGCTGTGACTTGACAGATCCTAATGTTTGGCATCTGGCTCTCCTTTGTTGCATATCCTTTGTTGAACTAAAACAATGTGACATGAAACTTGCTCTCAGCTTCCCAAACTTATAGAAGTCTGGTGTTTCCTAGAAAAACTCTGTGTGCGTGCATGCGTGTGTGCATGTGTGTCTCTGTGTGTGTGTGTGCATATGAAGGTTTGTGTGTGTGTGTGTGTGTGTGTGTGTGTGTGTGTGAGAGAGAGAGAGAGAGAGAGAGAGAGAGAGAGAGAGAGAGAGAGAGAGTAGGTTAGTGGATAACTTGTAGGCATTGGTTCTCTTCCTACCCTGCAGTAACAAGCACTGTTACCCACTGATCCACCTTCCAGGCCCCAGGTCAAGATTTGAACAGCAGTGGAAGTCTTGTTACACTGACCAGCACTCCAGAAGTGTCCCCTTCATGTTAAGTGTTCCCTAGAGCAAGCATCCATGTTACCACTTGTGTTTACACACGTGAACATTCTTGGACCAGTCCCTAGCTGTGTCATCTCCCCTTTTCATGTGTAGTGATGAAGACTTCTCTGAAAAATTCGACCTAGCTAGAGCCATGCCCACACAAGTGCAAAGCCCCAGCTCAACACACCTGCTCCTCATGACTCTTGATGACAACAAGTTGGGCCCCCACTTCCTCACAGGCGATCAGAGATTCCTTCCAGTTCTGTTGGAATGTGGAGAAGAAGTAACAGTTTCCTTGGAAGAGAGTCCAGTCCCAGGGGCAGGGGCGGCACAAGTGGTCTGTGGGGAGGTGAGTCAGGTTAAACATACAGTGGTCCCCATGTACGTGGATCAGTCCAGCCTTTAGGTCTTCAAGAGTGGTCACCCTCTCTGGAAACTGCACATGGGGAACCATGTTCCTCTATGTTTTGTAGTGTGTGTGGTATTCTTGTGTGTACGCATGTGTGTATGTGTACTCTTCTGTGTGTGCTAGTGGAGACCAGGTTGAATGTTGGAAGTCTTCCTCCATTGCCATTTATATATTTTGTTTTTTTCGAGACAGGGTTTCTCTGTAGCTTTGGAGCCTGTCCTGGACTAACTCTGTAGACCAGGCTGGCCTTGAACTCACAGAGATCCACATGCCTCTGCCTCCCAAGTGCTGGGATTACAGGCATGTGCCACCACCACCCAGTCCTGCCCTATATTTTTTAATTCTTATATATATGAAACAGCAAAAATGAAAGAAGAAGACCATCAATTTCAGGGAAAAGCATGGGAGGGCTTATAAACAAGGGAAAGAAATTATGTAATTGTACCTTAGCCAGAAATTTAAATTAAAATATCTATTATTTTTTTATTTTTGAACATTTGACACACACAGACAACCTCTTTTTTGTTTTGCTTTTTAGGTTATTATTTAATTAGAACATTTCTCCATTACCTTCATCCTTCCAAACCCTCTGATGTATCCCTCTCCACTCCTCTTGGAGTTCATGACCTTTGTAACCTGACTATTATTGCATGCACATCTGTATGCAGTCATGCACATCTGTATGCAGTCAATATCTTTTGATCAAATCCCCGCCCCCTGCCCTCCCTTCAGAAGCACCCAACCACATGACCTTGCCGACTTCATGAATTGTTGCTTTAGCCTGAGTCAAACTAGTACTGCCAGCCAGTGTGTCTGTCCTTCCTTCCTTCCTTCCTTCCTTCCTTCCTTCCTTCCTTCCTTCCTTCCTTCCTTCCTTCTATTTATGTGTTTACTTATTTCTGCATCTCTCTCTTTCCTTCCTGTCTTATGTTTGAGACTGGTTCTCCCACTGAACCAAGAGCTCCCTGTTTTAGCCAGACTATCAGGTAAGTTCTGGAATCCGCCTGTCTCCCCAACACCCCTGAGTAACAGGCATGTGTGACTATGCTCAGCTTCTGTGTGGGTGTGAGCAATCCAAACCCAGGTCCTCATGATTGTCAAGAAAGCACTTTATTTGCTGAGCTATATCCCCAGGCACAGTCATTTCCCTCTTAATTTCCTGAGTCTGTCCCCCCCAGGGTAACCCAGGAGGCCAAGGCCACCTCACATAAGCACAGAGAATAGCAGGGACATTAAATATCAGAACAGTCAGGACTCTGGTTTAATTGAAGATGTTCTGTGTGCATGGCCCTTGTGTCTAGTGACTGCCATCCTTAATGTTACTCTGTGTTCCCATTCAATGGATAGAGAAACTGAGGGACTGGAGGCTCAGTCTCTGAAGTCACCTCATACCACATGGAAACCTTTTCATACTCTTGGAAATCCATTTTCTGGTCACACACCTAGTCCAGCCTTCAGTTGGTCCAGTTCCTGGTGGATGTGTTGCTTTACCTGCTGCTGCTCCTGCTCCTGGGTGCTAGGAACGTCAGAGCCTATGCCAAGAGAGTGAAGATGAAAACATTAAATGCTGATAGATGTAAGAGAGGAAGCCACTGGTTAAGGAAAAGAGCTGACCCCAACTCCCCCTTTAGGAGTTAGCTCTGTTAGAAGGGCTTCAAGACTATGCCCCAGCCTCCGGGTTTGGAAAGAAAACATTACTATATGAAAACAATGTACCAGGTCCCTAAAACAAGAGAGAGGCTTCCCCTTAACACCGGGAAGAGTTTCTAGTAAGAGTAAGAGAATAGCTTTCATGACAGGATGACAGATGACGGGACAGGACCACAGCAGCCTTCAGAGAAGTTCCCCCAACAAGGGAAAGATCTGACTTTACACTTCCAGGGAGTCGCAGGAGTTTCACCTCTCACCCCACATGATTCCTTCAGCATAGCATAGGTGACAAAGAGCACAGAGGGGCCGGGTACATGCACTGCAGGCTGTCAAGTCACACAGAAGCTTTTTAACTCTCTGACCCAGAAAAGGAGGGCTGCGAGGAGTTAGGTCTGATTGCGTCAGGCTGTGGGATCTAGACTTTAAAGTGACCAGAAGCTCTCAGTACTAACCAGGGAAGCTCCTTCTTGCAGTAAGTTGTGATTGACATAGAGACTCACGGTGTCTCAATGTGCAAAGGATGAGATCCTCTGGAGATGGGATCACAGGTGGGATTCTCTAACACGAACCCTCCCCCAGGAGCTCAGGGATCATCATGAAGGGGTCAGAGAGACTGTGGCAGCCAGAGGCAGTGGAGGATGGCTGTAGAACTGTCTCCTGGACCCCACAGGCCTGATGCTCATGTGGACTCCCAGTGCTGTGACTGCAGTTCAAACCTGCTCAGCTAAGCCAGAAAACATCGAAAACAGATGGAGAAGGGACCCATGAATCCCCAACCCTAGGTGAGGAACTGTTAGCAACTGATGGCTGCTGTGGGAGGGTCTCTTACCATCTGCCCCTAGAGGCCACCCATACTCCAGAAGCTGGTCTTACACCCGTGTATCTGTAGAGCAGTAACTGGATTTGGTGGACCATAAAAATGAAGGAGCACATGGATTTGGGAGGAAAAAGTGCTGGAGCACAGGGGAGGAATTGGAGGGCAGGGAGGACGTAGTGGATTTGATCAAAACATTATATTCACATATGAAATTTGCAAATAATAATATTTAAAGGCCAGCCAGACCATGATCTAACTAACATGTATTGGGTCCACAGGAACATCATGCTCAAGTCCCATCATCTTATTTGAATCTGTCGCATTGACGATGAGGAATCCTGGTGCCCAGGGAAGTATGAACCACAGGATAAATGGAGTCACACCACACCCTGAGACTACTTCCTTCCTGCTGCACAGGTGTCTTGAGATGACCCATGACTAGTTCCTAGCAGGCATGTAAGACCACAGTCACAGATGCTGTGTCCCCTGCACCCCAAGCTTAAAGGTTAGATTAGAAAGCCCCAACCTGGAAGTTTCCTGACCTTTGACAAGGACAGCCACGAGGAGAGCGGCCAAGAGCACCAGGGAGATGAGCTGCAGTATCGTGATGGACCGATGACAGTCCTGACGCCCTGAGGAAAGAAAGTCGAGTGGTCCTGCAGGCCCTTGTCCCTGCCACACCCTGAACCAGGGAGAGCCTAGCCCTCTTCTGCTTCCTGAACACAGGATTGTAGACACTCAGTCACCATCTCCCACTGCATGGATTTTCCTGTCCATCATCTGCCACATGAGCATCAGAAGTCTGTTTCCAGCCTCAGCTATCCCAGGACCCTGCATTTCAATCATCCCATTCCAAACTCACTGGCAACAATAACAAAGATCCTCAGGCCCACCACTCCATGAACCAGGAGATCAGTTTCCAGATGCCACTTTCACAGGAGCAGGACTTCAGACCCAGCTCTACTTCTTATGATAGGGCATTCAGCACCCTCCTTTACCCCACAGGATTGAGGATTCCTGTTTCCCAGTATGCACCTCTCCTAAACAGGGCTCCTCTTTGTAGACACCACTCCTTCAGGACACAGGAGGTCAGACTCACTCTTCACCTCTCTAAGACCCAGGAATGAAATACTCAACCTCCTCCCTGTAGGAACAAGGAATACAGCCTCCAGCCCTCACTTCTTCAGGACAGCAGAGTCTAGACCATCAGCTCTGCCTTGACCGGTCTCAGGATTCCAGGTTTTCAGAATCAATATTCTTAGGACTCAGGATGCTAGAGCCTAGCCTCCTCTTCTCCAGTGTCCAGGAGTCAAGTCCTCAAGTGTTCATCTCCTCAAGACCCAGCTTTCCAACTTCACATCCTCCATTCCCCAGACAAAAGGATATAGACCTGCAGTCCCAACCATCCCAGGACCCAGGGATCCACAGCCCAGTCTCCCTGCCCACAGTACTGAAGACTCCCCGTTCTGTCCTATCCTCAGTACCTTGCAAACCCTTGTCTGCTTCAGAAACTCTTGAAGCCATGAACAGGGTCTAGTCCAACGCTTCTTAGAAATGGCTGGTGCTCCTGATCACAAGCTCCGTCACTGAACAGTTGTATCATCTGTCAGAGCCTGAGCAGGCTGAGACCTGAGCTGCCCTTCCTGACTCTTCCCTGAGCTGCCTGTGTCCTAGCTCAGCCTCACCCGGGGAGCACAGATGTTTCTCCCTCTCTTCCTTGGAGTCGCCCATGGTCCTTGCCGTCCAACAGTGTGCAGAAATCTGGAGCCCGGTTTGCCTTTGCCACTCCCTTTCCACACTCCTCTAACCTATTCTCAACCAGGAAGAGAAAAGGAGAAGTGGTGACGGTCAGCAGATGAGCTACAGGAAGGAGGCTGAGGATCAACAGAGGATGAAATGGACAAGCTCCGGGGATTTCAGGGCGATGACGATGTTTAGAAGCCCAGAGTGGAAAGCATTGTTCCATTCTTGGCAGGACCAATCTCTTGATGCCTTTAACAAAAATATCCCATCCAAGTATAGTACTCCTGGGATCTACACAAAGGTCTCTGTATCTTGGAACAGAGGTACCTAACCATCCATGTTCATTGCTTCTGGACTCACAATAGCCAGGAAATGGAAGCAACCAAGATGCCTATCGACTAATAACTGGGTAATGGTGATGGTTTTACACATCCCTATACATATAATTATTCCTATTGACTTTTATGTTTATTTTAATGTCTTTTGTGAGTGCAGATGACTGTGTATAAATGTAGCCTTGGGAAATAGAGACAGTATATCCCTTCAGCATGCTTCCTAGAAATACTGGACATCTGGGTAAGTTCTGGGTCTGATTGACAGACCATGCCTTGGGGAATAAAATACAGGAGCAGTCAAAGATGATTCTCAATATCAACCTCAGGCCTCCACATGCACCTGGCACTCCAAATACTACTGCCAGACACATGCAAATGTCATACACATATATGCACACCCTCCCTGCCAATGTATTAAAATGAAAAATTTTAAACTTACAAAATAAGCCTGATTTGTTATGTCTCCTAGACCTATAGTGAGGATCAGGAAGGACTTTACTCACTCCCCCTGAAACCTAATCTTAACTGTCCCCAGAGTTTGTTGCCTTTTTTGCCAATGTCCTCATTCATGGCAGTTTCTAGTAATTGACACTGGCACTAAATCATGTTCATTTACATATGTTTATTCATTGCGAAGAGAATAACCTAGAATATAGAAACTGATATAGCTCCATGTTATCCCCACACCAGCAGAGGAGTTCTCTTCATCTTTTAGGGGTTCAACTAATGTGAAACCAGGTCCATGGTTTTGATGCAGAAAGGACTTCAGAATGAGGCAGTATCAAGCTGAGTTGGAGTTTCTTAAAAATAAATGGTGTTTGGAAGAGACGGCTCAGGGGGTAGAGTCTTGCTGTCAGTGCTGACCTTGGATTGATGCTGGGTCTCACATGGTGAAAGGAGGGAAGGATCTCCCACAAGTTCTCTCCTGACCTTCACACACTCACCATGGCATGTGCACATTCACACATGAGCAGACACACACACAAGAAATAAGTGAGTGAGTGGATGAATGAATGTAACAATGATAGAAAGTCGAAATGTGCCCAAGGAAAAGAAAGTTACACCCCAGAGCTTCTTGAATATTCTTATCTAAGTATTTTAACAGGCACTGTAGCATTTGGAAACTTTTTGAATTTCATTCCTTTTTATGATCCCTGAGTTTCTTTCAAAAATTTCTGCCTACTAACTTGTGAGTGTGCCTTTTATGATTCTTGTTTCCTTTCCATTAGTGACAGTGAACTCTGTTGACCTTAAACTAACTCCTGCCTAGATTGTCCACAGTGAGGCAGAGGCGGTGACCAGACACTGGGGATGAGCTGCCGCCTCCGCCGCCTCCGCCGCTTCTGGACGGGCATCCCCTTCAGAGTCGGGACTGGAAATGACTCCTTTAGATCTCTGTCCTTCAAACACACATCTTTAAAGTAATTTAAAAATTGAGATTATAATATAATTCCATCATTTTTCCCTTCCCTGTTTCCCTTCAAACCTCCCATATACTCCCCTTGATCATTTCAGATTCACCTAAATACATGAGTATAACCTGCCCAGTCTGTATGATGTTTCTTGTGTGTATAGTTTCATGGCTGACAATTTCATCTTGGATAACCAATTGGTGAACTCTTCATTGGAGAAGACATTTCTGCTCTCAGCATTCATTAGTTGCCTGTAGTACTTCGTTCAGGGTTAAGATCTCATGATCTTTCCCTGATGCACTTTGGCATGTCTCTTATTTTGTACCTGTTGAGCTCATGTTTAGGTGGTCATTTTGGTGAGACTTTATGGGTATAACTTCTGACATCACTAGGAGACATAACCTCACAGCAAACTCCCTGTCCCTCTGTCTCATACAATATTTATGGCCTTCTTCCACAATGTTCCCTAAGCTCTAGGTCTAAGTTTTATGCTGTTGATGTATCCATTGGAACTATTCTCCATAACTATGCCTTTTAATTGGTGTGACTTCTTTGATGGTCAATGTCTATTTCATTGAGGACATTCCTTGACAAGGGGTGAGAACTCTATGTACATGTGGATATAAGAACAGATGATGAGAGTGTAGTTAGGGATTATGATGATTTAGTTGAGTTTTGGTTGTGGTTTTTCCTCCAAGATATAGGACATCTCTAGCCCTGGGTAGTTGGATAGGTTTCCAATACCAGGCATGGTTTCTCTCTTTTGGAGGGCTCTCAAGTCCAATCAGAGAGCTGCTGGTTGTTGCCAAGGAATTAATGCCACTACTGCTCTCTTTAGTGTTATCATGCCATGTTGTTCATTGTTGTGGTTCATAGGCAAATGCTATATTTTTAAACATTTTTTATTGAAAATAGATTCTTTGACATTCTGTGACCCTCCCCCCAGCCATTGAAGACCCAGGGACCATGCAGCTGCCTCTTCTCCCACCCCCTCACCAAGAAAACAAACCCCTCAGACACCAGAGACTACCAGACTCATAAGCCCACGCTGTACCAATTGGGAATAGCTGCCATCTGAGACACAGAATCCATCAGCACTGATTGGACCAAGAGCCCAGATTTGACCAAGACTTCCTATTAGACCAACAGTATCAATCGGACCAAGAGAGACTCCCTCAGACACAGACAACACTTGCACAGAGTAGAGGAAGAGATGGATAGATGCCAGTGCAAAAATACAGTCAACAACATAAAGACCAATATGGCACCATCAAAACCTAGTGGTTCTACATCAGTAAGACCCAAATATCCCAATGCAGAAGAAACACAAGAAATAGACCTTTAAAATGACCCTAAGATGATGATAGAGGCCTTTAAAGAGGAAATGAAAAATTTCCTTAAAGAAATTGAAGAAAAAACAAACAAAAATTGGAAGAAATCAATAAATCCCTTAAAGAAAACCAAGAAAAGGCTATTAGACACTGAAGGAAACAGGCCAAGATTTGAAAATGGAAATAGAGGCAATAAAGAAGACTCAAACTGAGGGAATATTGGAAGTGGAAAATCTGAACAGGAAGTATAGATGCAAACATAACCAACAGAATACAAGAGATGGAAGAGAGAATCTCTGGCATCGAAGATACAATAGAGGAAACAGATTGATTAGTCAAAGAAAACACTAAAGTCAAAAAAGTCATAACATAAAACATCCAGGAAATCTTGGACACCATGAGAAGACCAAAACTAAGAATAATAAGGATAGAAGAAGGAGAAGAATACCAACTCAAAGGCACAGAAAATGTATTCAACAAAATCATAGAAGAAAACTTTCCCAATCTAAAGAAGGAAATGCCTATGAAGATACAAGAAGCTTACAGAACACCAAATAGACTGGTTCCAAAAAAGTCCCCTCTCCACGTAATAATCAAACCACTAAACATACAGAATAAAGAATAAATATTAAGAGCTGCAAAGGAAAAGGGACAAACAACATATAAAGACAGACACATCAGAATAACACCTGACTGGAGATTCAGAAAGCCAGAAGGTCCTGGACAGATATTGTGTAGACATTAAGAGAACATGGATTCCAAACCAGACTATTATACCCAGCAAAACTCTCAATTGCCATAGACAGAGTAAACAAAATATTCCATGATAAAACCAGATTTGAAAAATACCTATCCATAAATCCAGCACTAGAAGGAAAATTCCAACCTAAGGAAGTTAGATACACCCATGAAAACACAGGCAATAGATAATCCCACACCAAGAAATACCAACGAAGGAAAACACACAATACTACCACCAAAAAATAACAGGAATTAAAATCACTGGTCATTAATATTCCTGAATATCAAAGGACTAAATTCACCTATAAAAGTACACAGGCTAACAAAAATATATATGAAAACAGGATCCATCCTTCTGCTGCATACAAGAAACACACCTCAACTTCAAAGGCAGACACTGCCTCAGAGCAAAAGGCTGGGAAAAGACTTTCAATCAAATGGACTTAAGAAGCAAGCTGTTGTAGCTATCCTAATATCTAACAAGATAGACTTCAAACTAAAATCAATCAAAACAGATTGGGAAGGACATTACATATTTATCACAGGAAAAATCCACAAAGATGAAGTCTCAATTCTGAACATTTATGCCTCAAATACAAGGGCACCCACACTTGTAAAAAACATTACTAAAGCTTAAATCACACATCAAACCTCACACACTAGTAGTGGGGGAATTCAATACCCCACACTCCCCACTGGACAGGTCTGCCAGACAGAAATTTAACAGAGAAATAAGAGAACTTACAGATATTATGACTCAAATGGACTTAATAGATATCTACAGAACATTCCACCCTAACACAAAAGAATATACCTTCTTCTCAGCTTGCCATGGAACCTTTTCTAAAATCAACCACGCCGGGCGGTGGTGGCACACGCCTTTAATCCCAGCACTCGGGAGGCAGAGCCAGGCAGATGTCTGTGAGTTCGAGGCCAGCCTGGGCTACCAAGTGAGCTCCAGGAAAGGCGCAAAGCTACGCAGAGAAACCCTGTTTCGAAAAACCAAAAATAAATAAATAAATAAATAAATAAAATAAAATAAAAATAAAGTAAAAAATCAACCACATACTCAGTCTCAAAGCAAATCTCAACAGATAAAAAAATTTGGCATAACCTCCTGTATTTTATTGGACCACCATGGCTTAAAGTCAGATTTCAACAACAAAAATTACAGACAGCCTACCATCTCATAGAAACTGAATAATGCCCAAATGAATCACCAAGGGGTCAAGGAAGAAATAAAGAAAGAAATTAAAGATTTCCTAGAATTCAACGAAAATGAAAGTCCAATATACCCAAACTTATGGGACACTATGAAAGCAGTGATAAGAGAAATATTCATAGCACTAAATGCCCATATAAAGAATATGGAAAAATACCACACTAGCGACTTAATACCACACCTGAAAGCTCTAGAACAAAAAGTAGCAAACTCACCCAGGAGGAATCAACACCAGAAAATATTTAAATTGAGGGCTGAAATCAATGAAATAGAAACAAAGAGAACGATACAAAGAATCAATGAAACAAAGAGTTGGTTCTTTGAAAAAATCAACAAGATAGACAAGTCCTTATCCAAAAGGCAGAGAGACAGCATCCAAATTAACAAAATCAGAAATGAAAAGGGAGACATAACAATAGACAATGAGGAAATCCAGAGAATCATCAGGTCATACTTCAAAAACCTGTACTCCACAAAATTGGAAAATCTGAAATAAATGGACAGTTTTCTGGATAGGTACTACATGCTAAAGTTAAATCAAGACCAAATAAACTATTTAAATAGACCGATAACCACTAAGGAAATAGAAACAGTCATTAAAAGTCTCACAACCAAAAAGAGCCCAGGACCAGATAGTTTCAGTGCAGAATTCTACCAGATTTTCAAAGAAGAGCTAATTCCAATACTCTTCAAATTTGTTCCACACAATAGAAACAGAAGAAACCTTACCAAACTCTTCTTATGAGGCTACAGTTACCCTGATACCCAAACCACACAAAGATGCAACAAAGAAGGAGAATTACAGACCAGTCCCCCTCATGAACATTGATGCAAAAATACTTCATAAAATATTAGCAAACTGAATCCAAAACACATTAAAAAATTATCCACCATGACCAAGTAAGCTTCATCCCAGCGATGTAAGGATGGTTCAACATACAAAAATCTGTCAATGTAATACACCATATAAACAAACTGAAAGAAAAAAAAAACACATGATCATCTCATTAGATGCTGAAAAGCCTTTGAAAAGATCTTAACACCCCTTCATGATAAAGGTCTTGGAGAGATAAAGAATATAAGGAACATACCTAAACATAATAAAGGCAATTTACAGCAAGCCGACAACCACCATCAAAATAAATGGAGAGAAACTCAAATCAATTCCACTAAAATCAGGAACAAGTCAAGGCTGTCCACTCTCCACATATTTATTCAATATAGTACTTCAAGTTCTAGCTAGAGCAATAAGGCATCAAAAGGAGATTCAAGGGATCAAAATTGGAAAGGAAGAAGTCAAATTTTCACTATTTGCAGACAATATGATAGTATACATAATTCCCCAAAAATTCTACCAGGGAACTCCTACAGCTGATAAACTCCTTCAGTAATATGGCAGAATACAAGATTAACTCAAAAGTATCAGTAGCCCCCCTATATACAAATGACAAATTGACTGAGAAAGAAATCAGAGAAACATCACCCTTTACAATAGCCACAAATAATATAAAATACCTTGGGATAACTATAACTGAGCAAGTGAAGGACCTGGATAATAAGAACTTTAAATCTCTAAAAAAGAAATAAAATATATCAGAAAATGGAATGATCTCCCACACTCATGGATAGGTAGGATTAACATAGTAAAAATGGCCATCTTATCAAAAGCAATATACATATTTAATGCAATCCCCATCAAAATCCCAACATAATTCTTCACAGACTGGGAAAGAGTAATACTCAACTTCATATGAAAAAACAAAAGACCCAAGATAGCTAAAAGAATCCTGAATAATAAAGCAACTTCTGGAGGCATGATGTTCCCTGACTTCAAGCTCTATTCTAGAGCTGTAGTAATAAAAACAGCTTGGTACTGGCATAAAAACTATCATGTAGACCAATGGAATTGAGTGGAAGACTCTGACATTAATTCACACTCGTTTGAACACCTGATTTTTAACAAAGAAGCCAAAACTATACAATGGAAAAAAGAAAGTATCTTCAACAAATGGTGCTGGCATAACTGGATATCAACATATCAAGATTGCAAATAGATCCATATCTATTACCATGCACAAAACTTAAGTCTAGGTGGATCAAAGACCTCAATATAAATCCAGTTACACTGAACTTGATAGAAGAGAAAGTAGGAAGTAGCCTTGAATGCATTGGCACAGGAGACCACTTCCTAAATATAACACCAGTAGCACAGACACTGAGAGCAACAATTAATAAATAAGACCTCTTGAAACTGAGCTTTAGTAGGGCAAAGGACATGGTCAATAAGACAAAATGACAGTCTACAGAATGGGAAAAGATCTTCACCAACCCCACATCTGACAGAGGGCTGATCTCCAAAATATATAAAGAACTCAAGAAACTAGACATCAAAATACCTGATAATTCAATTAGAAAATGGGCTACAGAGCTAGACAGAGTATTCTCAATGGAAGAATCCCAAATGGCTGAAAGACATTTAAGGAACTGCTCAAAATCCTTAGTCATCAGGGAAATGCAAATCAAAATGACTCTGAGATACCATCTTATACCTGTCAGAATGGCTAAGATAAAAAAAAAAAAACACTGAAGAAAACAGCTTATGTTGGAGAGAATGTGGAGCAAGGGGAATACTCCTCCACTGTTGGTGGGAATACAAACATATACAGCCACTTTGGAAATCAGTATGGTGGTTTCTCAGAAAATTAGGAATCAATCTTCCTCAAGACCCAGCTATACCACTCGTGGGCATATACCCAAGGAATGCTCAAGCATACCACAAGGGCACATGCTCAACTATGTTCATAGCAGCATTATTCATAATAGCCAGAACCTGAAAACAACCTAGACGCTCCTCAATTGAAGAATAGATTAAGAAAATGTGACACATACACACAGAGGAGTACTACTCAGCAGAGAAAAACAATGACATCTTGAAATTTGCAGGCAAATGGATGGAATTAGAAAATATCATCCTGAGTGAGGTAATCCAGACTCGGAAGGACAAACATGGTATGTACTCACTCATAAGTGGATACTTGATGTAAAACAAAGCATAACCAGACTGCAACCCACAGCTCCAGGAACGCTAGCTAGCATGGAGGACTATAGGAGGTACACATAAACTGCCCAGTGAAGGAGAAATAGATGAGATCTACATGAGCAAACTGGGAGTGAGGGGGGTAATGGAGGGCAAGAGATGGGGGATGAGAACATAGGGGGACAGGAGGTTCAAGCTGGAACAAGGACAGAGTGGGAGAGCACAGAAAGAGATATCATAATAAATGCAGACATCATGGGAATAGGGAGAAACAGAGTGCTAGGGAAGTTCCCAGGAATCCACAAGGATGACCCCACCTTAGACTACTGGCAATAGTTGAGAAGGTGCCTGAACTGGCCTACTCTGGTGATCAGATGGCTGAGTACCCTACCTGTCGTCATAGAGCCCTTATCCAGTGACTGATGGAAGCAGATGCAGAAATCCACAGCCAGGCATCAAGCCGAGATCCAGGAGTCCAATCAATGAGAGAGAGGAGGGATTCTATGAGCAAGGGACATCAAGATCATGATAGGAAAATGTACAGAGATGACCAGCCAAACTAGTGGACTAGACTAGGCCTTATGCATAGGTGAGACCGTTGTTTAGCTTGAACTGTTTAGGGGGCGCCTGGCAGTGGGATCAGGATCCATCCCTGCTTCATTAGTGGTTTTTGGAGCCCAGTACCTGGTGGGACACCTTATACAGTCTTGGTTCAGAGGGATCGGCTTGGACCTGCCTCAGCTGAATGTACCAGGCTCTGCTGACTCCTCATGAGAGACCTTGCCTTGAAGAATGTGGGAATGTGAGGTGTGTTGGGGAAGAAACCTGGGGGTGGGTGAAGGTAGCAAAGGGGAATT